AAAAGAGGTGTTCTAGGAGGAAGGGCGAATTGTCGAAATTGGATACGTTCTATAGAATTGAGGAAGGTGTTGGAGAAAAAGAGACAGAAAAATATTGTAGAGGAGGGGAATATAGTTTTATCAAGACGTAGTAGGAGAGGGGATTGTGTGGAGGAGGGGGAACCAGATGGGTGCAGACTGGGTCGCGGACGAGAAGGTAGTCCGAGAGGAGGAGTGAGGGCAAAGGTGAGGGCCGTGGAGGGCGGGAAGGGCCATGGGAGGGTAGGGGTGCAGTGTAACGGGAGCCGCCGTCGCCGGCTGCGGGCCCCGCTCGTAAGTTACGGCCTATTTTATCGCCGATCACAATGGTCCTTGCATTCAAAAGTGGGCCGTTCGAGGTTATGACGTGGCACTAATGTGTGTTCGGAACTCGTGAAGCCCAATAGCATAAAATGTTGCGCTGTATATCACGAGTTGTAATAACCGCGTCATCTCCTTCGTAGTCACACGGGCGTGCACTTTATGTAGCTGCGCAAGACACGATACTCCCCCGAAGAGCGGCAATCAACGATAATTTGTGTCCGCCATAAAAAAGAAGGTTGTGATGCGAGCAGTGATGATTGTTGTTTCTACTTTTTTTTCCTTTTTCTAATGCACCGGGTTATAGGGAGTTTTAAGAATGTCTTTTCTCAGTTTATGGAGGAAAACTGGCGAAGGATGTAATGTGGAGTATCGTCGTTATACAGAGTTTTGAGTTATTTGCAGTATGCCATTAAAACTAACTTTGGAAGTAACATTATCTGTGAAATTTTCATTTCATTTCTTATGACTACAGCATCTGCAAGTCGCTTAATTTATTTCTTGTCCCAAATACAAACCTTTTTTTGGCTGAAATTGTATTCATACAATGGTGCTTTAAAATTTGTTACCGAAATACATAAAGTGATGTGATATTAGTGTCATGTGGAAAAGAGAGGTGTCATAATTTACAAAGTTTCCGCTTAATATTCTTCTCTACGGTTTGCCTATATCAGGATAAAAGAAAACATTGTAATGTAAATGAATATGTGAAATGAAGATAAAGTTTTATATACAGGTGAGGCACGTAACTAGCACCACCTATAATTTCTGAACGTTTGAAGTTATTGACACGCAGTTTTCACGAAAGCGCATAAGGTAATGGCACTAGATTATATACTATGTGTTAATTTCCATTCAATCACTTATATTTTACGAGATATCGAGGTAAGTTTGCTTTTTTCAAATGGAACTATACACATTTTCTGGCCTTTCATGACGACCGTAAAAAGACGAATCCAAATTTATAATACATTTTGTAATATGTTAGATAATCCTTTTTTTGAGTAATTTTTATTTTTTTGCAACTCGTGTTTAACGGATATTTTAAATGTAACAGTCTACTACATAGGATCACACAGCGCTCCTCTGCTACCCGCACTCGAAGCGTTACAATATATGTTAAACATGAGTTGGAAAAAAATCGAAACTACTACAAAATATGCTTATCTAACGTATTCCAATATTTATCATTCGGTTCGAATTTTTTCGCTCGTCATGATAGTCTAAAAAAGGAAAGTTATTTTTCAAATAAAACAAAGTTACTTCTATCTCGTAAAATACAAGTGATAAAATGGATACGAGTACATGCATCAATTAGCTCCATTCTCTCCTGCATTTCCGTGAAAACTGTATTACAATAACTTCAACAGTTCAAAAATTACAAGAGGTGCTAAAGTTACGTGTATGTATGTATAAGTATGTATGTGTTTATGTATATATATATATATATATATATATATATATATATATAAACTGTGCGTGTGTGTGTTGTGTGTTGTATGTGTGTGTGTGTGTTTGGGCATGCATTTTACTTTAATACTCTTGAACAGTTCTGAAGGCTCACAAGGCCATCGAGCGTCCTTGTCAGTCTAGAATCTTCTCCGGTGCAGTGAACGGCGCAGGTGGCTGCTGCGTGAGGCGCCTTTTGTTCGTGCAGCCTCGACGCCTCTCGTCCGCGGAGTTCATTAAAGTTCACTCGGGGCCGCCCGGAAATGCAGTCGGCGGTCGACGAAATTTTCTTCGTGGTTGGTAACAGAAATGATCACAGTAAAATTGCATTTATTTTTTCATAAATAACTGAAACCGTAAAGGAATCCCTTGTTTCTTTTACTAGATCTCCAAAGGAAGCGCAGAGTTTTCATAACAGGACCCTAATATTAACATAACGCTGACCAGTGTAATGAACTGATTGGAATTCTCAGTCAGGAAATTCCTAACAGTAATATTATAACTAAAATAACAGCATTCATAAAGAAGATGCTTCGTTAAGTTTAAACGAAATTTACGTGTTCTGTATACATATTTCTTTAATTTTATTTTCTCATGCCTACTACCGAATGAATATTTTATGTTAAAAGAGATTGTACGTCTTCCAACTTCTTTTCTCCAGTTAAAATATTTTAACGGTTCATTGTGCGTTACATGAAAATCAACGTTGTTGTGGAAATTCTGCTGCCTGGGA